TAATTAAATAAATGTATTCGATATAATTAAAGAAATATTATATTTATTACTGCAGTTGTTGCGGTTAAAGATTTTGACATTTTATTTATTTAATTGTCTAGGTTGCATTATGACGATCATATTTAAATCTAGAATATTTAACTAATTTTGCATAAATGCTAAAATTTTAAAATAATATTTCTTTTATTATATCGAACACATTTACTTAATTACTAAAATAACCATTAAGCTAAAAAATTTGCAGTTTTATTATAGTCGAAAATCTTCACAAATTATGCATTTTTTTTAATTAATTGTCACGAAATTTTCAAGATATATACTATTTAATATAATGCATAAGTTTACTTGGAACATCAAAGTCGATTTTATTAATAAAAAAAAAAATTTTTTCTTATTAGTTGAAAATTTTAATTAATATTTCGATTTTTGTGTTTCCGGTCATTTTTGTCTGTAAAATGATTGTCGGTAAGTTGAATGCGACCCTCATAATTTTTATCAGCTAGTAATATGAAATATTGGTTGCAATAATCTATTCGAAACTATTTTTAATTTCTTTAACAAAATCTCTTTTTCTTGGTCAACACATGATCAACTTCGGAATCATCTGAATCACTTTCTTTCACATGGATTATCCGAGTCTTCATTTGTAGGTAAAATATGTCAAGCTTTAAGAAGGTATGAATAATAAGTTCTTGTAAATGATAAATATCTGATGTTACTATCCTCTATTTTAGGGAAGTTAACTCTGGAGGAATGGAAGATATATTGTAAAGGTGAGTACTAGAAGGAGACTTTATAACAGTGATTTTTCCTTGCTTTAGCCAGCGACAAAAAAAAATAAATAAAAGTAATGATTTTTTTTTTTGTTTAATATCTTTTTCTGATTTCTTTTTTCCTTTTTTTACTTTTTCCTTTTATATTTTGTTTTCGTTCTATTTGTGAACATTTTGAAGCCTTCAAAAAGTTTTGAAGTTTATGGTTCGAAAGCTATCGTGGCTACAATCACAAAGACTGAAAGTTCTCCTTTCGATTTCATTAACCACACATTTCTTTATTATAGTACCTATACGAGCAACAATTTTGTCGTTCCAGTTTCATTTATCGAAAACAACTATGAACTAGCAAAGAAAAGAAAGGTTTACAGTTTACGATTTTGAATCTTTTTTACTTCGGTACGAAATTTAAAATTCATTTCCGAACGGATAAATTTATGCTGATATTTACATCATTACTTTTTAATATAATATCACCTTGTTTAAGAACTCTTTTAAACACTTTAAGAATTATTCGATTAAATATTCAAAAAAAAAAAAAGATTTCCTTTTCCAAACATGTCTCTTCATTAGATTTTTAATTCATGATTACCTCTCATAGCGATTTACATGTATTATTACAAGTATTTTACTCGAGTTCTGGACCTACCTCAATTCATCGCGGAAATTTAAAATCATTTTTCGAAAATTATCAAAAGAACATGATGAAATTTTCGAATTTTACTTGGGACCTCGACATATAGTTCTTAGTGGGCCGGTTTATCGACTAAATAACATGGTTTACCGTAAAAAAAATTATCATGCATACACTTTGTTTCGTAAATTAAATGTTTTTGAAAATTATTCGCGCCACTTGATAAATAAATGATATCATTATTATTTAAGTTCCATAAACAAATAAAAAAAGATTAGTTTGACAAAATAATGAGTTTCAAACTTTGATGTTCAATTTACACACGGAAAACCGGGTTCACTTGTCAAAGATAACTCGTTTGTCGAAGATCCGGTAGCGGCTTATTATGTGGATTGGAAAATCATGTTGTAACCTTTTTTAATTGGTCAGAAAGTGATGAAAGAATGATTAGCAAAAAATTTGGAGAAAGGATCTTAATGGAATACCTTTGGGGTTACTCTGAGAGAGAATGGAATAATGTTGTTGATAAAACTATGTTAAATTCTCAAACTAAATTTGATGAAACGTCAAATAAACTTGTCAAGATTTTAAGAAATACTGGAAGTTTTTTAAATGAACTCGCCGGTAACGAAGGAGTTTGAAGTAATTGTGCAAGTATTGATAAAATTGAACAGTTATCATTCGGAATTTCAAATCTTTTGTTCTCCTTAAAATTTCTTGAATCGAAGTTTCATCATCACGCATGCTATGTAGGGTGTCCCGCAAGTGAATCAATAAAAAATCAACATTGTAATTACGCTTCTTTTTGATGACTTCATCATCTTTTGGTGGATCCGAATTTGGCCTCGAGTTATTTTCAAGTCCTCTTTCAAAGACTTGGGTAGTGTTGCGATGAATTACCATGAATTTAGCTAGGGAATTATAAACTTTATCTCGAACATCTTTGCCAAAAATTATCTTTGAAAACATATCTGTTCTAAAACTGCTACCCAAGTTCGTAAATGTAATTCCAACCTTGTCATACTCTCTTTTGAATAATAACTAACAAATGGTTTAGGATCGGCCAACATCTCTAAAGAATTTATTGACTTGAGGTGAAAATTCATTTTTTACACTTTCAAAAAGTAATTTTAGATCATATAAAATTTTGTTTCGGTTAATTCCTTTAAAAGTTCTTTTGCTTTTTCATCTGGCGTAGAAATCCATCCTTTTCTAATTCGAGAAGGATTTTATTGTTTAATACGGTTTCAAGCAAAGTCGTTTTAGGGGAGATATGGCTATTGAACGCAATACTTTGTCTCTTGTTAGAACTTCCACCCTATCATGATAAAATAAGGAAAATCGTTTAGACAATTTTTTTTTTTTCTTTTTAAAAAGATATAAAAAATTGTAAAAATTGCATTTCACCTGGCTTAAAATTTTTTTTCATGTTTTTATATATATAATATTTTTTTCTAGGGAAATGAAGGTATTGAATTTTATTGTAAAACACAATGGCGTAACACAACGTTCCAAAATGGTTCCATTCAAAGTTTCAAGTTTCCTCAATTCTTTAAAATAATGAAAAACGATAAGCCTTCAATACAATACACAAATCCTAATGCATCTCTCTGTTATTCAAAAAATTTTCACAAAGAGGAATATTTTAAATTATGGTGAAGATAAACGTTGTGATTCTTTTCCTTCCGTATATTTTGTTCCTTGTTTCAAAGGTTTAAGAGGCTCAGAAATCTCAATTCATCGGAACTTGGGTTTCTCAATGTGCCTTTCTCAATAGAAACGAGTCTACGATTCTGTTGGAAGATGATCATGATTTCATGGTATTAACGCTATATTTAAATTGCAACTGTTATCGATTTTTTCTAATAAAAATCAATCGTATGGTATTTTCAATTAGAGGTTGAAACCGTTAACGAATATTTTACTAGTTAAAGATTTTTAGGCTCCATTATCAAATCACTGGATCAAGAGTTCTTAAAGACCAACATAAAATTTTGGTTAAGAGACCTCGAACACAATTAATCACTTTGCGCTATGCAAACAATTAAAAAGCCGATGGAGAGAAAATAATAATTGGAATCGTCATGATAGAATTAATTTTTAAGTTTCCAAATTATAGAATAGTGGCGCAGTGTTCAAAAGTTACGCTTCGTTATCAATTTTCATACGTCTTTATATTCGATACATTTATTCCCCGACTTTTATCTTTTGAGTGATTGAAATCGTTTAACAAATTTGGTTAAACAATCCTTTTCTATTTGAAATTTTTACTGAGGGCTAGTGAGTAACCCTGAACAGTGATTTATGAGGTATTTCTGTCAATGGCGATGGCACTTTATCACGATGGGTTCGATTCTATTGGGTCGAGAAATTCGGTAATCGGTGTAAGGAATGGTGTTTTCAACAACAATTATAAAGATTACACAAATAACATTTTCGAGATGATGATAACTGAAATTTACACGTGCACTTTACAAAATTAAATACTAGGGGTGTTCGGATGCTTTTTTTGGTGCACTCAAAATTAGTTTTTTAATTGAACATGCCTAGCAAATGCGTCATCGAAACACATGATTTTGTATATGTCATCCGATAAAATATAGCCTTTTTTTTTTGTTTTCTGCATCAATTTTACCCCTTGATCCTTTAAGATGTTTTCACGAGAGCAAAGAGGAGGCGGTTATAGAAAACGAGGCAGTACTAGGCAAATTGAAACATATCGATCTTGGAACGTTGAAACTCTTGGGATACCCACTCCCAACATAGATGATTCGACCCAATATCGTCCTTGGAATGCTGCTGCGCTTTCTCTTGAAAGTGAATCATCAATGGATATCGACGAGGAACCATCTAATGATACCCAGCGTCCTACTTTAATTGAATTAGACTCTTCGGTAAGTAGCATGATATTTTTTCTAAAGCCTTCATCTTTTAAAATTTGCGATCTTACTTGGTTAACAGGTTATAGGATTTTTTTTATTAAACTTTATTTCGCTATAAAATTATTTCGAAAAAAATTACAATTATAGTAAATAAAATTCTTGGTTAATTGAGTAAAGTTTTATATTTTAGCCTGTAAAATTACCAAAACTCGCGAACAAAGATAATCATCAAGGTTCTCAAAATCAGATCACTACACAATCTAACGCGATGGAAGAATTGAAACAGCTTAATTGGGAAGATTATTATAAGCAAATGATGCAAGAGGAGGCCAAGCGTTCAATCGAAATTCGACGTCAAAAGCAAAATGTAAATACTGTCAGAAAAATTTCTTGGCAATCCGTTTAACTGTATTCATAACGACTCAATTATAATTAATCATCATTGTAGGAGAATCTTTTTGATAAATCGATATTGGATGAATTTGACTCTTTGTGATCTGCTCAATATATTTTTTTTTAACGAAATAAATTGTCATTACACATGACACATGTCACTATTACATATTTAGTCATTGTGTAATTTGTGTCACGTGTTAGCCTTTTTTAAAATTTTTTGATCCAATTTTTTTTTTATTTTAAAAAAAAAACATTTTTTTAGTCGATTTCCTATTTATTAAATTAAAAAAAAAAATAAAATAAAATATGTCACGAATGAGAAATAATATTCGATTCAGAGATAATGTTGAATCCGAAGAAGACCTTTTAAAGCTTCAAGAAGACTTTTTAGTAAATAAACCAAAAGTTGCTGCAACTTTGATCAGACAAAGTAAACCACCTACTGTCATATCATCCTCTTCATTTAATCATTTAGAGAAAAATGTTGATGTTGGAGAAACCCAAAAGGATATTGTTACTTTGGATGATCAATTAACAAAATCATCCCATGAAAAATCATTAACATCATCAAGGTCTGTCAAAGTAGAAACGAAAAGCAAAAAAAAGAAATCGCTCTTTTCTACAAAACGTCAAAAGTCGCATGAAAATGGTGGTGATAAGACTCAAAGATTTAATATTGATTTAGATCAGGAATTGGAAGGTACCTCTGATCAAGCTGAGGAGCATGTGCCCGCAATAAAAAAAGTTTTAGATATGCATTCTTATCAAACAGGAATCGTGGGAGCTGTGACCGAGAAATCTGTTAACGAACTTGTATTACCACCCAGTGTTCCCCATAATGATAGTAAATTAACGAATGGCGGATTTCCAAAGCCTGTTCATCGAAGTTTATTTATGCGAAGAAAACAAGCTCTGAGTGATGAGTCAAGAACAAATCTAGAGAATATACAAAACCAACAAAATAATGATAATGATAATGATAATGGAACAAAAGATAGTAAAATTACTTGTACAGAATCAACCGTTTCACCATCGTTATTAAATACTTTGAATAAAGATACTGGGTTATTTAATTCGGATTATTTGGAAATTGACCGTGAAAATACTCAAAAAATTTCTAATATGTCTGAAGAAGAAATAATACAAACTATTGAAATGTTGCGTCAAACGTTAAGTCCTAAACTGGTTGAAAAGCTTTCAAAGAGTAAACCTTTGATTGAAAAGATATCCGGGGAGTCTCATGAGGAGTCAAAGAAAAATGATATTAGGAGTGTTCATTTTGAAGAAACAATGGAAAGTAAGGAGACGCTACCTGTGAACCTTGTCGATGATGAAAATGATGATTCTTCGCCACGTAAAATGAAAGAAAAATATTTCCCCAATGTGTTAATCGAACCTGAAAAAATTGAATGGATGCTCGAAAAGGATAATCCATTAAAGAACAAAGGTCAAATTGTTAGAGATTCTGTTAGCCCATATGTTCCTAAATCATCAGATCCACCTGCCGCATTTTATAGATTCGATTTTCATGGTAATATCTTAGAGAAGGATGCAGATATCCCTACATATATGGGTCTTCATCATCACGGTGATGATCCTGATCAAGCTGGGTATACATTGGGGGAATTATTTCATTTGTCAAGGAGTAGAGTTCCAAGTCAAAGGATTATTCCTTTAAACGTTATTGGTAGAATTATGAGAAAAGTTAGGAAAGGACATTATGGAATTGAGAAAGATAAAGGAATCGCCGAATGGACGATTAAGATGAAATTGCCTATATATTTGAGAACCGCTTTAGATGACACAGCAGAATCAGTTATCGTGGCCGCTGTTGATGCAATATCTGCTTTGGTCATCGGTGGGTCAGATGGTTTAGATGGTGAAGAAGAAAATTGGGATCGTTTTGGAGGGCTATATCGAGGATATGAGGCCGTCGCTCTTCGGGATGATTCTGGAATCAAGGTTAAAAGACATTTTGGAATGGATATCGCTTTACAAAGTGAGAACGAAGAGGACATGAATACGACTGATTATCACGTTGGGCTTGCGTCAAGAGATTTAATTGCGGGCTTAATTTCAATGGATGTCTTGTATCGATTTCGATATATTTTGGAGAAATTAAGATTGCCATACAATACAAACGAACAAATCATTTTGATGCTTGTTCGCTTTGCACGCCATTCTCATAAAAGTGCAAGGTCCGTATTCGAATGTCCTCAGCTTGTCGAAGTCATACATAAAAGATTTTTATGTATAACTTGGCCCGTTGTATATAAAAACAATGAAGTTGCACATTCGACACAATTTCCAAGTTTACCAGCCGTAAAACTTTTTCGTTTGTTGTGCCAGTCGTCTGAAAAGATCAGCAAAAGCATCATCAAGGATTATATGGAGACGTTTTTAAGATACATTGTAGTAAATCCTTCAACGATATCGAATGAATTTGAGATGAACCTTGGTTACAAGATCTTGCAAGAAACTTTGAGAATTTATCAAACTCTTGCAGCATATGGGCTTTATCATGGAATTCACTCTCAAGCATATTCGGTATTTTGTGGATATTTGTCCAAGGAAATAATATTTTCCCTTCCTCCTTCATGGCAATGGAAAGGTGATAACATTTACCAAATGAGAAATAAGCTTGATATAGCAATATCATTTTTCAGACTTATAGAAATTTGGATTCGTGTTCCTAGAAAAGACACTGATATAGATGATGAATCGGGGGCTCAGCCGAGCGAATTTGTTAACGACTCGGTTGAACTCTTGGATAAATGGGTTAACTCCTTTCCATATGAAAGGTGCGATAAGGTTGAAAATTCTGAAGAATTTGAAAAGGCTTTAGTTTTGATTTCAAGTATTGCAAGATATATTTCATCTTGGTATCAATATTTAAGTGGTTATCCTCTAAAGGCTACCAATCAAATAAAGAGCATTTGGGAAAGGTTCCAACTGGGTTCATGGCAATCTTCAAAAATTTGTCAATACCTGTCGAATCGTCTGCCGGTCTGTTTGGACGCTTATTATCTTTACAAGAATGGTGGTTGGCAATTGCCTAATTTACCTGGTGCTTATTATCCTGGCACATTCGAAAGAGTTTCAAAGACTGTGACGATATCAATATTATATGATTTATACTCGTCTTACATATCATTGATTTATCGAATCAGCAATTTATTTTCGAACGACAAGGAAATTTCTACAACTTCATTGGACGTGATTACTGCATTTGCTCCTATAGATCTCGTGCAAAAGCATATCATTAAGGTTCCACCTAGAGGAAATTGGGATGATTTCTTTATTAGGACGCGTACTTATTTATTATATGAGTGGTGGTGTGCCATCAACACGCTTATAGACAATGACGAATTTAGATCAAAATATTCAAAGAAATTATTGCAGACAGCATTAATATTAATGCCCAATTTATTACCCGGAGACGAAAAGATTAGTTTAGATCTCCTTAATAAAATATTTGATGGAATAGCTGTTTTATCATCAGATTCTAAAAGAGCCAAACAAATCAAAAATTCGCTTAGGTCATTTTATAAGAATCACATTACTTCAAGGAATGACAAAGAGGAAATCTATTCATTTTCAGGGCAACAAGAAGAGGAACTTGGTTTATTGTGGGATTTGACAAAACATAATCGTCATGGAGGATTACCGTTTTCAAGAGCATGGTTATGGATTCCAATCGATATCTTATATAGCAAGAGATCGGATGTTATAATGGATGAAGAAGTAAGGAATGAAGTTGTAAGGGATTGCTTAGTATTTGCATGGGAAATTATGCAAATGTGTCAAGATATCACGGACCCAAATACGAGATATGTGATGAATCCTGCAATCGTCGTATTGTCAATTATGAAGATTTTCTTATTAGAAGGTGAATTATATAGGGATTCTAATATTGGCGGGTGGATTGATGAAATTCTCTCTCGATACACCTTTGGATTTAGATCGAAAGGGGGGCGAACTCTTGGAGATCACGAAATCTTTAATTCAACCGAAGTTGATTACTCACTTGAAGGTGCGGCTAGAGATGTCTTAACAAAACCATTTTATACATTTTTCACGGATTTTTCAGCTGCATATGCAGCCGAATCATTTGGGCACAAATCATTTGCACAATGTGTAATCGTGCCATTATCAACCATTTATCCTTTGGATTTCAAATTACTCGTATGGAGTGATCTATTTGAAACTTTAGGTACAATTAACGTTGAATATGAAGAAGTATTGTGTTTGAATTCTTCATTTAATGAAGGATTGAAGAGTTATTTTTGGCCTTTGGAAGATAATAAAGCATTGCTACAAACTTTTGTAAATACTATTATACATAATAAGCTTACACGTGAAAGAACTTCGTTCTTATATTGGGTTGTTATACATCACTTGAATGGATTTGTATTTTGTACGACGAATGTAAAACAGGTAAACAGGCAACAAGGGAATCAAGGGGAAAGTAAGACAATTGATAAAGTTCAAATGAGAATTGATATCGCAAAGGCGATTGTTAAAGGAGCAAGGTCTGATGCGATAAAAGATTGGGTAAATTACACCGGAAAGAATTTTGGAGAGGATGTAAAAGAATTAGTGAGGGTTCCTCAATGTTTTGAAGAAATAGATTCGAAATTACAAGATAGATTAGATTGGTTGAAAAGCGTAAATATTGATATCGAAGAAAAATTAATTTAAATTTTAGATATTATTAGAACCTCCAAATAAAATTGTAAAATAATGTTAAAATTGAGTCACGAGACAAGTAAATCATATGATCCGTAACGTGATTACCAAATTTTCCGTATATATTATCGTTATCGTAAACGATTTTTTTTATTCGTAAAAGTAATATTTTATTAATAAAAAAAAGAATAATAAATATATATTAAATAATAATATAAATATGAAGAGGAGAAGGGGTGAGAAAATATAGTAGTAAAAATAGGAAGTCGGAAAGATTGATCATGCATTTTTAAGGGTGGGGAGATTTTTAAGGACAAAGTGGATTGAATTATTAATTCCTTTTCCCTATTATAAAATAATATCGTTTCCCAAAATGATTGAGTTTTTAATAATTTATCCAAATATAACCCTAAGAATCAAATACCAAACGCAACCGAATGTTCTAAACGCCGATAAAGCAGCAACAGACCAGAAAACTTTTTTTTTTTTTTTTGAAAAAGAAAACGCAAAAAATCAATTAGTTTATATATAAAATAAAATATTAAATAAAAGATTCCGTGGGGGATAGGTTAACTTACCAAACGTTAAATAAGGATTATAAGCACGAGGCCCAGAATGTTGCTTGACGTAATCATTCCAAGTTTTTGAAGTGAAGAAAACGATCAAAAGACCATTTGAAAACATCCAAGCCAATACCAAATTAGTTCTAAACAATTTATAATAGTCATCTTTCTTGGTGGCAGCATCTCTATGCTGTTTAGTTTCATATACTTTTAATTTTAATTGATCGACCAAATCATCGTAAATAGCATTGATATCGGTTCTTTCTGTTGGAACTTGAACTTGCATTAATTTTTTACCATCCTTACCAGCGACGGGTTGGGCACCGTTACCTTCACCAGTATTGCCATTATCACCTTTTGTACCCCAAGAGACATCATGTGTATTACAAAATGCATAAACCATCAAAATGTTAACATAAAATGGTACCATTAAAATATATTGTAGTAAACAAGTTATCATATGCCATGGTTCCCCGTGAATTAAACTTGAAAAGATATAAAGTCCATAAGTTGAGGATAATGAAATGACTATATCACGAAATTCATCATCTTTAAGCGCATTTCTCAAACTGGAGAATGAATTGAATTTAATATTAGCATCCATTAATGACAAATATACGGTATAACCTGCACAATATAACATCGTAGCCATAATCAAGGCGAATAATATAATACATCCTATATATATCCATTTGGAACCTTGAGGACGATTTCCCATTGAACTAATGAAGATGGTGACAATCACCATACCATATATTGACCTAACCAAATTAAATAAGTTCTCCCCATATCCTCTAAAAGGATCCGTAACTGGGTTAACCGTTACGGCTGAAGTCAAGAAAAAGAAAGCCAAATAGAAATTTCCCAAAGCGAACCAATTAAATAACAATTGAATGGCATTATAAAAAAATTCAACCGAAAGTAGCAATTTACGAAAGAATGATTGTCCCGAACTCCAAATACGCGTAAAGTGTGCGATTGAATAAAATGCGGCAAAGAAAGATCCATTCAACCATCGACGACGTTGTGAGATAAATTCTGGTACATTATCGGGTACATCGGTTTCAGCCTTCGCGGACTTTACATATTTTAATTTCCATGATTCATTTTTTTTCGCTACCAATTCAAAACATAAAATACGATCCTCCGCCAAGTACATATTTGCTTCAAATATACCGGCATCCCCATTACCGTGCATCTTTTCCCCTTTAAAATATGATGCTAAAGGTCCTTTATCGAATGACGTATTTTGCAACGCTTTATAACGATAGGCTGAAAAGGCTCCCGGTAATACGGAAATATATCCAAACACCGATTCCAACGGTTTGTCCAAGATATTTGACATTTTATACTCAAAATTTTGTGACGCCACTAATGGATTAACTAAATTTATGCATCCACGTCCAAGTTCCGTTTGAATTTCTCCACAAGCTCCTCCAATCTGAGGATCCATATCAAACGCTTTCCATAAATGATAAATTGACGTACTCGAAGGTTTGGTCCCAACGTCCAATAAAATACACACATTTGGATTTAATTGCGCGGCAAACGCGTTAAAGAACCATCTATGACTGTTTAATTTTTTAGCGTTCTTCTCTTTTAAGCAAAATAATATTTGTACTGGCGGGATGCCCTTATCCGCTCCTCTTATATCAAAATTCGAGTCAACCATCAATTGTGACGTGTATTCAAATAAATGACCCGTAACCGGTTTTCCTGCCACATTATTTTGCATGATTCCATCTTGATAGACACCCATCGCTCCAAGTACCTTAAGAACTCTTTTATTCACTTTATTACGACCATCCGCTACCACGACCACCACAACCTTCTTCCATCCTTCTTTTCCCCACGTTTTTGATCGATCCCTAGTGCATAGATGAGCCACATTCTTAATGGCTGATGACATGGTTTTAATGAATAATTGATCATCTTCATTGTACATTGTCATTACGATCATTAATTCGGTTTGTCTTTGATAAATATATGGCCTTAACAGGTAATTACTTTGAATAAATTTATCTGGATCACATGTTACCGCCGTGTACCTCATGTGTGTAAATTCTTCCCCTGAGGTGATTCTAACATTTTTAATAACTTTGTCTGGTACCGGGCAATCCAATACCAAATTTCCTCTTGTCAATTCTACATGTCGAACGGACTACATTTATTTAAAAAGGAACGAAACATAAAAAGTTAAAATTTGCTGCGGCAAATACACGTGACGTAATCTCCGTAAATGAATCCTTACCTTTCTTTTATCGACTTTTTCATAGAAATCTAAAACCTCATGACCTTTCCATTGGTTATTAGCATAACCAGTATTATTATTATTTAAAGGCGTATAGTAATCAACTGCTTGAGGGGAGTAACTTGATTGAGAAACTGGTTGAGGAGTGTAATAATCATGTTGATATGTGGTGGGCGAAGCTTGACGTTGAAGTTGTTGACCCGCGACATGAGTATTATTAAATGTTTGTTTCGGTTGTGAAGGAAATCCTGGTCTTGGTGAGGTATAATCATACGTTTGTTGACGTTGTGAACGTTGAGAAGGATGAGAACGTTGAGGTGGATTATTATTATTTGATGTTGTTGTATAATAATTAGCATAGTTATTTTGATATCCTGCCATATTGTATTATATTTTATACATATATTAGAGGTTAATTGAAAAAGGTATATTTACTACTAGTATTACAATGATTACAATTAATAAGATTTTTTGTTTTATCTACAAATTATTAAAAGAATTAAAAAAAAAAAAAAAACCAAGAGTAATATCAAGGAAAAACAACCAGCGAGATTCCTTGTAAATTAAATAAATATGATTTATTCTGAAAATTATATCCAAATATAATTTCTATATAAATAATAATGAAAGAAGGAGTAAATACTAATTATGGTAATATTGTAAATACTTGTAGTAAAGGAACGTTAATTAGTATGGAGAAAAAAGGAAGGGAAATGGAAGACGAATTTTAAGGAAAGGGAAAAGGGAAATTATTAAAAAAAAAAATGAAAAAATGAAAGTGAGAGGTCTTTTTTCCTTTAATTCGGCCGACTATTTGTTGTGTTACAGCTTATTTCTTTTTCGATATATAATGTAATGTTACTTACTATATCCCTAAAATGTTAATAAATCAAAATCATCTAAATTTCCAAAATTGGTTAATAGATTTATTCAAACAATTTTTACCGCTTATTTTATTATCAAGTGCTTTAAATTGGTTTCAAATTTATGTCACCTGAATTAAATTTGTCTTACGGTAAATATTTGTTAAAGAAGTTAGCGACATTCGAGATTTATTTATTTAAATATTTAATATGAATGTAAATAATTATTTCCTTCGTTTAAGTACAAAAGCTAAATGTAAGCTTGCGTACGAATTATTTCGATTTTTTTTCTTGTATCACGAAATAAAACTGTTATTGAGTGTTGCTACTTACTCAATTGGCATTCGAATTTTAAATTAAATGAAACGTTTGCGAAAATTATAAATGTGTTTGTAGAATTAATAATCGTTAATAAATACGTACATATGTAGTCTCATGACTCGTTTCATCTTTTTGTTTCAGTGTGTGAGTGATCTCATTTCTTATATTTATTGAAAAAAATGGTTAATTGGTTCAAATTCAAAAGAAATGGTTAATGCTAAAAAACCGCGCAATGGCAACTTGGGTTTTGCATTTATCTTTGTGGAACAAAAGCACAAACCGTTTTTTAAATATAAACAACTTTATTATATGTTGTGGTTAATTAAATTTAATAGAAAAAGCAACGTGCTAGGTAAATATTTTGTGAAAATTTATAATATAAAGAATGAATACTCTACGCATTTGATCTTTACCGTTTTTCTTTTCAAATTTGACGATCTCAAATTTATGTTGTTGCAGATTGGGACATCTCACATTGTTTTCAATTGGTAACCTTATTTATAATAGAATTAATATTTTATAACCAGCTATTTCACATTGTTTTTTTAAAAAAATTCAAAAAGCTCTCATCAAAAGCTCGACCTTGTCAGCTATAAGAAGAATATCATTGAAGTACTATTCAATTATTATCATATGATAGATTACAAATTAATACCGGTAAATTAAAATAAAACTCTCTTTAACAATCACTTGATCGACGATTTGACGGTCATTTGAAAAGATCGCCAATTAGTTAGTTTCCTTTGTTTCTTATAAAAAGGTTTAAATATTTCTGATTTTTATTACTGTGTGAAAAATATTTGTTCCTTAGATTTGATTGATATGTAAATATGTAAAAGTGAATTTATATATAAATAGTTTTTGTTTAAAAAAAAATTTAATAAACGATTCGTTGTTTATCGAAACAACCTATGGTTGTATTGTAATCCAAAATAATAATGATTGAGACTTGCAAGGTTAATCCAATTATTTTCAATTCGATAATGCTGTTTTTTTTAAAAAAAAAAAAAAAAAGTACCCGGTATATCAAAATATCGGTATATAATGAATAATTTTATAATGATGATATACTTACTGTATGTTAAAATAATCCGGAGAAATAAGATGAAAATAATGAAAAGATGTAACCAGATCATCCAAATTTTTTAAGGGATCATTTCTTTATCGATTTAATTCTAATTCATTTTGCCTAATTTACTAAAGAAATTCAGTTAATCCATTAATTGCTTATTAAAAATAGTAAAAATTCTCATGCATTCAAATGATTCTGTTTTGGGGATACTTATTCCTGTACCCCCCCCCGGTGTAGGTTTTTATCCAGATGCAAATTCTGTTCGCAGAATACTTGAAGTGGTAGTATGGGATACAGGTGACAAACATTTTACAATGATCACGTGATTATCTCCGCTGCACTATCTTTCATAATTTTCTAGTATTATTATCTTTATCCTGAGAAATCAAGTGCAATGCAGTTTTAGAACTTAAACATCTTGTCAAGAAGTCTATTGGCTTTTTAAAAGAAACCAAATCATGTTAACAAAATTATTAAATAAAAAAAGTTTTGATAATAATAACTAAAGACAATATAAATAATATAAATCAAATTAATAAATTATCAAATCAATTCATTATTACTATTGGGATTGATACTTTTCTTAATCCAATTTTTTTTAAATATTTCCAAAGAAAAATCTTAGTAATAACATTAATTTTTTATCAATAATGTTAAGAAGTTCATCTTTAATTTAAATTATTTGAATTATCTAATAATTCAAATTTAATTTTATAGGATAGGCTTTTCAAACACTACCAGAAATAATTGTTATATCTTTATTAATTATAATAATTTTACTTAAAAAAAATAAAATAAAATAAGAAAGAGAACAAATTTATTTTTATTAATTATTAAATTAAAAAATTTTACTACTATAATTGTATAATTAATAACATATAAAAAATATATAATAAGAATTATATTTTTAAGCTAAACTTTGAAAATTATTTATATTCAAATTTTTAATTCATCAGTTTGAAATATATTAGTTAATATAATATTAATGCAGATTTTTAAAAAGTGAATAATATAAATCTATATATTAAACTTTAGATGCTGTTAAATTTTTCTCATACTTTTTATTTATTTATTAATTAATTAAATAAAAAAAATTTTTCTTTTGGCTTTATTATTATTAATTTTAATTAAATTATTTTAAGTTTATTATTTTGAAATAGTTATTGATTTATTAAGCAAAATATAAAAATTTTATTGTTTTAAATTTGGTTTTTATTATTTATTAAGTTTTATAAATCTGATTTAAGAATATTAATAGTATTATTTTTCAATATCATTAGCATTTTTATTTTGCTGATTTATTCTTGAATTTCTATAAAATAATTTATATATTTAATTAACATATTATAATTTTATTTAGATTCTTTTATTATTTAATAAGAATAAAATGATGAATTAAATTTAGTTAAATAACAACTTTTAAAATATATTAATATATAATGCCAAAAATTGTATAATAATATAAATATAAAAAATAATATTTTTTACCAATTCTTTCTTTTTTAATATCAAATTATACTTCCTTACAAAATTAAAAAATTATTAATAAAATATCATATTATAATTAAAATAATTTTATCAGTTATAATTATTATTAATAAATATAATTATATTTAATTACATTATTATATTACATTTATATTTTAAAAAAATTTATTTTATATTAAAGTATATATTAAACTAGAAAATAAAAACTATTATTAAATCTGAAATGATCTATTAATATTTACTTTTATCTAAACTTTTGTATAATTGTAAAGGCTAATTAGTATTAACTTAATTATTAAGCAGATAGATAAACAAACATATGTATAACCTTAGATTTATATATATAGTTTTTTACTTTATATAAAATAAAATTATTAGACTGTTGCTAATTTACATTTGTAGTGAAATCATAAAGGTGATATCACCTGTAATAATTTGCTAAAAATTAGGTGATTTCACTTGTATAAAAAATATTTAATAAATTACAAATCTTATTATGTGATTTTATTATATTATATTACTTATTTCTTAATTATTTATAATAATAAAATGATTTATATTCAGAATTTTTTTAATTGGCTATTTAATTTTAACATCTCTTTTACTATCAAAAAAAAAAAATGTTTAATTTATTTATTTGATATCTAATAAAATAGTCTACACACTTTTTTACTATCTAAAAAATTACTACTACTAGTTATTAGACATTTAAGTATTGTAAAGTATAGTGATCAGTTTGATTACATAATTTACAATGCCTTTCTCTTTTTTTATCTGATTGACTTGCTTCTTCATGATCTTTATTGATGATATTAATAATATCTCAAATATGTTTTGCTTTTTTTAGGAGGTTACCATATAACCTGTATCTATTAGGTTATTTACCTTTATGTTATACTTGTAATAGATCACTAATATGTATAGAAACTATATTTTTCTGTTATTCAGATAGTTTTATTTTTGTATTTTCAATAAAACATTTTACTTGATCAACAAATTCATTAACTTTATCAATTCAAATAGTTAAATCAAGAGTTTTTTTAATATATTCTATACCAAATCTATATTTTTGTTTAAGATCTTACAATTATATAATATTAGATGTTTATCTAAAATTTGCGAAGTGTTGAAAAGATAATTAAGGCAAGGGTTATTCTAACTCATCTAGTTCTTCTTCTCTAATATTATTTATTGGTATCATATATTCCTCATATTCAATATTATATTTATTATTATTATATCATAATTGAGGGATAAGCGATATATGAAACTGTGTATTAACTGAATAAAATATAATACGAAAAAATGTTTACACATAATTTCTCTATTGATAAGCCAAAGACAAGTACATAAATATGAACTATTATCAAGAAAAATAATACATTGTAGTTCTGATTTTTGCCTATGATGTCAGTCATCTTCCATACTTGCTGAATATTATTATAGGATATATTTTTGACTAACAAAGAAAAAAGAGATTGAGGTTGGTTATAATTATCTTCTCTAGCTATTTCTTATTAATAAGAATTATTTATCTACCATTTAAATTAAAGAAAAATATGATTTTTGATCATTAATAACTGTATTATCATTAATTAATATTAATTTTTCACATCTTATAATGAAACTTACTTTCAGAAGTAGTAACCAATCCTCAATTAATACTGTATTATAGTATAATGACTGAGCTATTTGATCGTATTATTTTTGAAAAATTTGTGATGTTAAGTATTTTTGCAAAATTTTGTCAAAATCTGAAAAATATTCATCTATTATAAATAGTATTCCTCTTGTTGGAATTTCATTTTTATATTTATTTAATATTGCTCTTTTTGATTATTGATCAAATATCCTTTGAATTTCTCCAATAACATCAGTCAAACTTGAAGATCTATTTAATTTATCTTTAATTATTTTATTAATTACCTTTACTCGTTGTATATTTTGAATTCCTGCAGTAAAATTTCAGTTTGTAGCATAACTTGCTTAACTATTTTTACAAGAATATAAAACTCTTGTAAGATATTGTTTATAAACTAAAAATTTATTAATAAGTACTTTCCATTCTATTTCAAACTTTTTATAACATAGAGAATTACGCATTGTTAAGAATTTAGCATAAAAAGCTTCAAATTAGTCATGTAGCTTTTCTTTAAATTTCTTTTTTAAATTTAAATCTATATGAAAAATATAAAGAAAATACTATGTCTTTAAATAGTTTTTCTTATAGCTGATATTAAAGTTAGATCAGCATCAAAATATAAGGCTATTGGTATAATATTATAAGAATTTTTTAATTCTTCAAAAATTCATGCAAAAGTTGCTTCTGTTTTATCCTCTAAAATTGCTACTGCTACTATTAAATTTCTAAAGTTATTGTCAATTATTATTACTAGCATTAATATCATATCAAATTGGTTAGTTTTTAATGTTATATCAATAATTACAATATCATAGTATCTTTCATAGGTATTAACTTGATCAGGTGATATCTAAAATAAAGAATTTAATCTTTTTTTTTAGAATCAAAGTATGACTTTATGATTCATCTTAAATCATCATCTTTTTTTAAATATAATTTAGTAAGCATTTGACATGCATCATTTTTATCAGGCTTTGCTTGTTTCTTAAATTATTAGATAGTATTACTTAAATCCTTTTTATTAATTACTTTATCTGAAAACAAAGTCACCAATAGATTGTATTGAGTTGATATGCTAATATTTCCTTGAATTGTCTAAAACTTCACTTTTTCAAGCATCTTATCAGTTAACTTCTGAAACTTTGATGCTATTTCAATGATAAAAAAGTTTATATTATGATTATATTTACTAACTATACCATTGATTTAAATACCACTTACAGATTTGGAAAAAGAAAGATTAATATACCAAGAACATCCAATTATATTAGAGTTTTTATTCCTTTTATTTTCTGCTAAAATAACCTTTTAAGCTTTATGAGTTTATACATATGGATTGATTGCTAGAAAAATCAGGTTCTAGGAATTTTTTAGCAAAATTGAGATTTTTATTGTATTTTAGTTTTTGATGTTATTAGATTAAAATGTATTAAGCTTTTAATTTTAGTCAAAAATTTCTTAGAACCTGATTTTCCTAGAAATACTCCCATATGAGCATTCATATGTTCTACGTCTTATGATTATATTATCAATTAAATCTCATATACACTATTTTTTATGAAAGCAGAATTCTTATTTCTTTGTATATTCATCAAGATACAATTCAACAAGTTCCCATATTTTAAATTCTATTTCTTGATATAATTTTGTTTCATTTTTTTCTTCTTTTTCATGCTCATTATTAGCATTTTCTTCTTGATAATTAATATTCTTATCATCTTTTTCCACACGAACTACAGCATCTATTATTTATTTTTTATTTGAATTTTTTTATATATCTCAAAGAGTAGATCAGAAGAACTGGGTGAGAAGTTATATAATTCAAATATTGATAAGTTAAAAGAAGAATTATATAAGGAACTATATAAGTCAAATATTGATGAGTTAGAAGAATTATATAAAGAATTATGGTAAATATTGAACAACAGATCAGAATCACTATATAAAACATCATAATAAGAGTTGAATAATAAATCAGAACTATTATACAAAGAATCATTGATACTTAAAACAATATTTTCTATTATAAGTAGTTTTAAAGTTATATGTGACATGTCAAAATTTAGCTAGTAAATACAATTAGAAATAATGTGTGATGTAATTTTAATTCTTTAGGGAAAGAAGAAAAAGAATAAAATGTGATATCTCTAAAAAAAAAATATGTAAAGAGAGAGAATTTTAGATGAAATAATTACATTATTTTATATCATTTATAAACAATAGGCAATAATATTAATAATGTAATACAATTATTATAAACATTATATCATTTACATTAAAAATTTTAATTTTATTTAATATAATATAACCTGAGTTAAAATCACCTGTATTAAAATTTTTTAATTATAAAATTTAATATAAAATTAACCAAGTAATATTACTTGAGTTATATTATCTTAAGTTAAAAATAGTTATAATCAAATTATTATTATATTATTATTATAAAATGAAATAAATATTAAATTTATTATTAAAAATAATTTATAAATTCAAGTTTTTTTATTTACTAATTTTCTAGTTTTTATATAATATACATTAAGATAGCTATTTCTGAATTTTAATTAATACATATTTTATTAACAATTTTGAAGCTTATTTTTTATAAAAATTATAAAATAATTTTATTATCTTCATAAAATTTTATTAATTTTACATTTCTTTTTTTTAATTTAATATAAAATAAATATTTTTGAAAATATTGTTAAAAATGTTATAAGTATTTATATAACTTTTTATAAAAGTATTTATAGATTTTACTTTTTTATATTATAATCATATTTGTTATAAATAGTTGTTAATTATAATATAATATTTAATATTTAAATTTTTATTTATTTACTTAATTATTTTTAATCAATTTAAATTTTTTAAAAATTTTATTTATTTAATTTCTAATACTTTATTTAATTATATACTATATTTTTTATAAGATACTATAAATATAAACTATATTTTATTTTTAAATAATATTAGAAAATAGTAACTGTTTTAGTTTTTTAATCTTTTAGTTTAAAGAATTTTAGATAATATAACTTATAATAAAAATCATAATTTATTAATTTTATATTTAATTTTTTATTATATTTAATTTTTTATTATATTTAATATTTTTAGTATTTAATTTTTATAATATATATGTGATATAATATTAACAATACAGAATTTTATTAAGTAATTAATATGCAAAATAGAATAAAATTACATTTAATATACCTAATATTTAATTATCTATTACTATACTTATTACTATATTAATTATTATATAAGATCTTTATAATTAAAAAGAAAAAAACAGCTGAAAAATAAAAATGAATCAATGTTAAATTTGATCATATTTTGACCTAAAAATCATATTTGATATATAAAAGTAAAATTGATTTTTCTGATAATTTTTTCTCTTTTTATTGCAAATATTCTATATAATTTTAATTTATTAAAAATATTTCTAGCAAAATTTATTATTTATTTTAAAAAGTTAGTAAAAATTCAAATTAATCTTTAAATTTTTATCACATATAATTAATACTAGTAAAATAAATACTTTGACAATAAGTATTAACTTTAGTAAATATATTAAAAAATATTTTAAATCTATTATTTTATAAGTATTATCAATAATAATTATATCATAAAATTGATAATAATTTATTTTTATTTTAAAAATATTTAAATAGCTTATTAAAGTTTATTTATTTTATCTTAAAATTTAAGTAGTTTAACTTCTTTATAAAATCATTATTAAATGTTTTTTCTTTAATATTTCCTTTTTTTTTTAATAAATAAAATTATATAAATTATTATAAATAATTAAAAATTATTCTTTTAATATTATATAATTATAAGAACTTTATATTAATATAATATAAAAAATAATTTTTTCTTAGATTTTAATAAGTATTCATTCTTTAAATATAAATAAAATTAATTTTTTAAAACTAATAAATAACTATGCTTTAAATATCAAAGTTCAAGAATATATAAATTATAAAATAATAATTGTAATATTTTAAAATTTAATTACTTTTATTTAAATTTGTAGTTTATTAAAAAAGCTTTCTCTATTATAAATAAATATTTAACTTTTGGTTTCTCTTTTCAAGTTTTTTTAAATAAATTTGTTATTTATATATTTTCTAATTAATAAATAAATATTTTTTTTAAGTAATAATATCACTTTTATAAATTTTATACTGTAATTTTATTTTTAAAAGTATTTTTAAAATATTTAAAAATATTCATTATTTTTAACTATTTTAAAATATTGAAATTGTAATAAAAGTATATAAAATAATTATATATATAATTATTATATGTATAGTATTAAATAAATAATGATTTAAATAAAATAATATAATTTTATAAAATTTAAAAAGATTCTTATTACATAAAATATATCAGCTAATTAAATAATAAAAATAAATTTCTTCTACTATAACCTATTATTTTTTAATATTTAAATCTTCTAATTTTTATTATATATTTTCTAATATATATTAAATAATTATTATAAAAATATTAATAAGTATATTAGGAATATATTTTAATAAATTTATATGATTTTTATTATATTATTATTTTAGTTTTTATTTTATAAAACTTTAATATTACTTTATAAAATTAATAAAATTTTAGATATTATTCAAAAATGAATTATAATTTATTTAATAATATAAATACGTTGATTGTTAAGAAAATCTGATTCTGAAAAATTTTTAACAAAATTGAAATTTTTATTACATTTTAGTTTTTGATGTTATTAGATTAAAATATATTAAGCTTTTAATTTAAGTTAAAAATTTCTTAGAACCTGATTTTTCTAAAAATTCTTCCAAATATCTTTTAATATTAATTTATATATTATATAAAATATTATTTTATTTTATATTTTTTAGATTAAAATTAATTTTATTAATTATTTTTTTTTAATAAAAAATATATTATAATTAAATCTCTTTAAATATATAAGCCCTTTGCAATAGAAAGGGGGGAAACGGCTGAAAAATTAAAAAATGAACCAATGAGAACATTTAATATAATGTGGCTAGAGGAATATTTTTGGTATATTAAAGTAGGACAGGTTACATAATAAAATTTTTAAATAATTCAAATAATTCATAAAAAACTGCATATCTATTTATAGATTTAAAACTACCTAATTCATGAGTTGATGTATAATCATGTGACTCATAATTTAAGATTATTTATAGTTTTATGAATCTCTAAAAGATTTTGTAAAGAAATTTGCAATTCTTTAAGAGTTATACAGATAATTGCAAATCTCTAAGAGATTTCACAAAAAAATTTGCAATTCTCTAAGAGTTTCGCAGATAAAGGTGAATCTCTAAGAAATTTCGCAAAGAAATTTATGATTTTCTAAGAGTTTCACAGATAAAGGTGAATCTTTAAGAGATTTTACAAAAAATTTGCGATTCTCTAAGTGTTTCGCAGATAAAGGTGAGTCTCTAAGAGATTTCGCAAAGAATTTGCGATTTTCTAAGAGTTTTGCAGATAAAGGTGAATCTCTAAGAGATTTTATAAAGAAATTTGCGATTCTCTAAGAGTTTCGCAGATAAAGGCGAATCTCTAAGAGATTTCACAAAAAATTTGCGATTCTCTAAGAGTTTCACAAATAATGGCAAATCTTTAAGAGATTTTGCAAAAAAATTGTGATTCTTTAAAAGTTTCGCAAATAAAGACGAATCTCTAAGAGATTTCACAAAGAAATTTGTGATTCTCTAAGAGTTTTACAGATAAAGGCGAATCTCTAAGAGATTTCACAAAGAAATTTGCGATTCTCTAAGAGTTTTGCAGATAAAGGCGAATCTCTAAAAGATTTCACAAAAAATTTGCGATTCTCTAAGAGTTTCACAAATAATGGCAAATCTTTAAGAGATTTCGCAAAAAAATTGCGATTCTCTAAAAGTTTCGCAGATAAAGACGAATCTCTAAGAGATTTCACAAAGAAATTTGCAATTCTCTAAGAGTTTTGCAGATAAAGGCGCAATATTTTTTTGTGAATTTTAAAATTTTTGTAGTCCGCAGCTTTTCGCAGTAATTATAATTTCAATTAAGAAATTCATTTATGCACTAATTATTCTATAGGAATTTTCTTATTTTGGAATTTCATTTATTAAATATTGTATTTTTTCTTTATTTTAAAAAAATTGCAATTAAATAATTTAAATAATATTAATATATCTTGATAAATAAATACTTTAAAAAAAATTTAAAAATATTCTTCAATAAATAACAACATGTCTCAGCTATTCCATATATTATTTAATAACATTTTTTTTGAAACTTATGCTGAATTCAATTTATTACAATAGGATTTAGAGAATTTAAATCAACTTCAAGTTATGTATTTATCAAATGAAAATGAAAATTTACCTTATAATATGAATAAAGATAATAAAAATGAAGATGATGATAAATTTGATGAGCTTGATGAACTTAATGAACTTAATGAACAGCAAGCATTACATGATTTTGATAAATTAATTTTCTCACTTGAACAAATTAACAAATTTTATCAAATTTATCAGCAAGCTAAATTTGCAGAAGTTGATGATGATGATGAATATGATGAACATCAA